TGTCTTTACTTCTCTTTTGATCTCTCAGCGCATTTCCTGTTATTCTTCTCAGTACTCTCATCTCTATTGTTTCCAGTAGCCTTTACACTGTGGCTGTGTCGGGTCTTATTTTTGTGGCATATATCAATATTGGTCTTACACTGGCTTTATAAATAATTGACTTCATCTCCCTGTTAATGTGTCTGTTCCACTATGAAGTGTTACTAAGGCATCCTGCCAGTCTATTTTCTTTTTGTACTTGATCTCTCATTTTTTTGTCCAGATCTCCATAGCTAGACACTGTAATTCCCATGTATTTTATTTTCATTACTTGTTCAATACTGATGCCGTCAATTTCTATTTTATATCTGGTTGGTTCTTTGCCGACTCCTATTGTTTTAGTTTTCAGATTTAATTTTAATTTTCATGACACTTGATTGTCGTTATGCATGTATTGAGCCAATCTTTAAATAACGATAGGCTTATTATCACTAGTAATATCCCTAGGACATTGATAACAGACGAGATAATTTCATGACAATCCGAAGGCTGAGTGCTGTTTCCAAGCAACGAGCTTGAGAAATTTGTCATGAAATTATGAGGCATCAATGCCCGAGGGATATTCGGCGGATAATTTTTCAAAAAAAAATCATAACTCAACATAACGAAACATTTATTTATTAAAAGTACAGTTAGTGAAAGTACAATTATTAAAATTTAAGTTAACATTAGATTCGTTGCTGTTCTCTACTATAAAACATCTATTACCACGCAAATTATTTATAATCTTGTTGTGGTGTTCTTTTTTAAAAAACGTGACATTTTGAAATTTATTTGGATGAAGTTGTCAAACTCGATCGTGTTGTCATAGGGATTGAAAATTGCACTGAATGCAATTATCAGTCTAATGTTGACATGATTGGGTGAAATTGTTCCACATGACACAAAACGACGAAATTTGAATGGTTGTTAGGACAGTCGAAAAATTATCACTATGATAAAACTCTTAATCAAGTCTTCATAAATGATAATTTACAATAACGTCACCTTTTTTTAAATATATCTGCAAACCGAAGGTATGATAAAGTATATACTTAATTGACGTATGTAGATTAGATTATTTAGCCATTATCATAACTCATAACTTATCATAACTAATTTTTTTAATAGAGAAATAAAGTTATTAGTTTTCAACTACTAGTGTGAATGGCATACATTAAATGTTTTAATTTAATGCGAACAATATGTCAAAAGGATTTATAATTGATATATAACATTTTTTCAATAGAAAACCTTGACATACCCAGAATTAATCTATTTTTGCTACTGACAATATTAATTATTTTAAGAAGACATTTAATTGCTTAGTCGTTTAAATAATAATTTTAGATAATTACAAATACTCTTTTTAAATATACAGAATTATACACTTTCAGTATTTTTAACTACGTAGTAAATACTAGTCGTATATCATTTTTATAATAATAATTGTAACGATAATTAAAAATTATATCCAAAGAAAAATTGACATGTTATTTTATCATTTATTGTGACGTTGTAAATCTTACACGTTAGACGTAACTTCTGCATAAATATTCAAGTGGATATTTAAAGGTTAAAAAATATCTACAGATAATGTCAAAAGTGATTTTGTTTCCAATAAAAAAAATTAGGTTAAATGTTTTCCATGACACTCATTTAGGCTACATTTTTATTTTTGTAATACATATTTAGCCATGAAAACTCTGAGTTTGAACCCAAAATATTATCTATTAAAATTTATTAATGAAAAATTCTTTAGTTTTTTCGTCCCTAAAACCCAAATATAACTGTTCTTTTTGACAGTGGTGTATTCCACTACTGGAAATAAAGGTATTATTTAATAATAAAGGGATCCTACTTAAACATTTATAATTAAAAATTCTAAGGAGTACAACCTCTCTATAAAGTTTGTTTTTTATTTTACATCAATCACGATAATTTACTGCTATTATCGATGCGATAAGTATCAGTTAATGATTTATGTGGATAAGATCTGTTCAAAGTTTATCCACATAATATAGACACATATAAGCAAACGTTCTTTGTCGTAAGTTATTAATAGTCTGTTTGTGTCTAGCTAATTTGCAGAAAAATTAGCGGAGAAGAATGCAGTTAATTAGTTGTTATATACACAGTGAACCTATAACAAGTATTTGATTAAGTATGACTAAAAGATATCAAAAACATCTCAACGTCTTAATCTGGACATCAAATATATCCGAATTAGGTATATTTCATTTTGGATTTTATAATGATCCTCCTATTTCTCGATACCATCTCTATTGAATTGGCGACCAGTATGGCAAATTCTTGTGCGCTTGGCGTATAAGAGTGTTTTCTTAAGTTCTGGTCCAGTCTTTTATATTCTTGAGTCACAATTTGTTTGTTTTACTTATAACACGTTTTTTATGAGGTTTTCCTAACTTTGACGATCTTCTACAGGTGTGCACAAGTATTCATCCTTGAAAGTACAAATTGGTAGCTCTTGTGATCCAATTTAGTCGCAATATTATTCTGTACATCCGTATTTCAAATGCATTTAACTTGTTTAACTGCCTTGTTTAAGTGTTCATGTTTCCGAGCCAGACAGAATCAGGGTCCATATAGAACATTTTAGTGTTTTCAGTCTCATTGGCATGGCCAATTTTGGGTTGCAAATTATCTTTGTCATGTTCAGGAATCTTGCTCTCACGATTTCATTTCTTCTCTAGATTTTTGGATTTACTCGTTGGAAATTTGCTATACATTTTTTATGTTTAATTTGATTAAAATCTTTTTTATAATCAACAAAATAAGTGTGCAAGTTTCTTTGTACATAGCTCTTAACGTTAGCTCAAGGATTGCATCTATTATTCCCGTACCCCTTCTAAAACCGTATTACAAGCGGCTTAGATATTCATCGCATTTGTTGTAAATACTGTTAAAAACTTTACTGTTAAATACTTTGTGAATTTATTTCTGCATGACTCAGCAGATGTATTGTTCTGTGATCGTTATACTTTATTGCCTTATGCTTCTAGGGATATGTTTCTTGAAGGTACATAGTGAGCGTGTCGATATTGGTGAACATTAACAGTGATAAGGAACTTATGCTTGTGTTGTTGGTATAAAGAAGTTTAACCCAAAGTTCGTAACATTCAGGAACGTCATATAATATCAAGATATGCCAGATAAGATTTTGCGGTCTAAGGCTTTTCCAGAACCACTAAAACTAGGTACACTGTTTTGTTCCCTTTTCGATTCCTCTCCCAGAGCAGTATAGCTGCGCGAATTGCGTCCGTTGTACTACTGTCCTATACAAATTGATACTATTTGGCATAGATGATAATAATGTTTCTGGCTTCTATTCCCTTTTCGAATATTTTTAAGGCGTGGCATGAAAGCCGGATTGGGCGGCAATAGTTGTAGCATTCTATAACGTATTTGCCCTTTAAAATGGGCATAGTCATGCTAGTCCGCCAGGAATTGGGAACTTTGCCTTCGGTGATGTTGATTTTAAATATTGACCAAGTAACTTCCAGACTTCTGCTGAAATATTTTTGGGCCCCGTTGTTTTATCGTTCCTGTACCTTATTTATAGCATCACACCTTAACTTTACTAATGCTTGGTACAAGTCCGAGTATAGCTCCTGCACTAATAGTTGGTGGGTGTGAAAATTTGGTGTTACAGTTACTCGGAACACCGAAGAAAGCCTGGAGTAATATCCGGTGATTTTCGCTTCTGATGTACTTTACCTGCTTAATAAGAACTAATTCGAATTTAAATTCAAAATGATGTAGGCAGTTTCCATGTCAATAAATGCATATTGGTTGATTATACAGGATATACACTCACATATATCTCTGTTCAGTCCAAACTCTTAAAGTAGTTAAACCTTTATATTCATAAATAAAAATTAAGAAGGCTACAAAAGGATTGCGAGGTCATAAAGCACATCAAAACAAGAAAGCTGGAGTATTTAGGCCAAATTACCAGAGGTGCGAAATATGAGATATTAAGTCTCATAATGCACTGACATAATTTAATCTTCTGTGTATATCTCCGTAGGCATCATTATCTGATCAGATAAAATATTTAATAGGCAGGCAAGTTTATACTGTACATCCAGTTAAAAAATCAAGTATTTCCTTTTTGACAAATACAATTTGTATAGGACTAAAAAGTTCGTTTTCTACATCTTCTTGGTGTGTTTTACGGTATGATGGGTAAGTTAAAACACACCAAGAAGATGTAGAAAACGAACTTTTTAGAACTTTTATTATTTTTAACTAAATTTTAAAATGTATTGTATTAATTATTGTATAAGTTTTAGTGTATATGTTTGTTATTAATGTTGAGTGTCATCATAGCTTCGTACAAATAATCTCAACGACTATGTCTTGATAAAGGAATTAAACAATTCCGAAAGCTAGACCAAAAGTCAAAAGAGTGTTTCTGTAACATCCCGGCCAAACTTCTGACTGCAGCCCCAATAAACTTTGTTGTTTGTATATATATACATATATATATATATATATATATATATATATATATACATAATATATATATATATATATATATATATATATATATATATATATATATATATACTTGGTATTTAGGCGGCACACGCCCTTCCGGTAGGGATCTATGGATGAGTATCACCGATCCGCAAGCCCTTATCTCTTGCCGTACTGCTCCACCATAGGCCGATCAGATACCAGCATATTCTAGTCTAAGCCGAAGATTCACTTTTAGAATTTTAAACTGCTGCGATAGCCTTTTTGTTTTCTGTACACCGAACTGTGGATCGAACTCACTTCTTGTGAACCACTAGCAGTGAAGCTAGCCCGCTTGGCTATCTGACTGACTGACCTTGAAAAATCAAGTATTAATGAGTTAATATTATGCAAACGTTTATCTAGTATTAGTTTTTTTTAAGAATACTATCGTCAACTTTGTTAATATTATACTTAAAATAATAATTATTTTTTTTCAGGTTTTGGAAGGGAATTTAATATATAGTCCTCTTCTCAGCAAAATAGGATTTGAAATGACGGTCTTGGCTTATGAAAATCTTTTTAAAGGCACCCTGTTTCAGATAATTGCTGTTTTATCAGGTAAAATTATATTTATATTTTATTTCAAAATATGTTAAGATGCTATGTTATCTTAATGAGACATTATATGCACTTTGATTTACAATACAATATAAGCTCTACATTACTCTTATACTCACCCTACTCTTCAAATTGTGAATTTTTTTTCACGTGATTGTTTCAACATGTTCAACAAGAATTATTTAATTATATTAAAATCCTATTCCTCTTGAATGAAAAGTTTAATTTAAAGATCCTTTATAAAAGGTGTAATAATATAAGATCCTATTGGGCTACATCTCAATACGTTTTCGGAATCACTATTCCGTCATCAGTGCTGATCTAGAATTACAGTGGCTTCAAAGATCTACACTTAGATAAGCACAAATGATGAAATAGTCATTTCGAAAACGTTTTGTGACGTATTCGGTGGGCTTTTATATAAATATTTTTTCAAAAACATTTTTAAATCAAAAATTGTTTTTTGGTATACAGCCATTCATTTGTCTTGTAGTTATTTTTAACCTGAAATAACGAAAGACTTAAAGACTGTTTTTTCAGGGTGTATAAAAATTACGTAATTTACGTAACAGTGGCCGATACCATTATATACCTGTGGCCGATAGGACCACTACTCGAAAAATCAAACGAATAAAATATAACACTCTCTATACGATACCTAGGGTAGACTACAGAAGGCATTTGGTTTTATTGAAATTTGGAAAAACCTCAAAGCCTTAAGAAATAATATAGTAGATGACCGAAATTCTAGAATGGGCCAGTAATGAGTAACGATAGATGGCAAAACTTGCACTCTCTAAAATTTTCCGACGATGTTGCGTTAATAGCAGAAGACAGAGAGAAAATGCTGTTAGTACTAAAAACAAAATCAGAACAAATGGAATTAAAAATAAATCTAGCAAAAACTAAATATCTCACAAAAAAATCTCTAAATATTTAAATAACCAAACGTACCTAAAGGCTGATTTAAATAGAAGATGGTCTTTAGGATGGGCAGTATTTGGAAACAAATTGCAGAAACAATCATGGAAATGGCTGATAAATACAACGGCCCCGAGTACGGGTGCTCCTTAAATGGAGCAGGGGTACTAAGAATCTCCCGGTCAGCTAGAAACATGAACACATTTTCTAAAGAAAGAAAAATAGGTACATGGAATGTAAGAAGCATGTACGAACCAGGAAAAATTCATAACACCATTAAAGAAATGAAGCGTCTAAATATAAGTATCCTTGGAATAAGTGAAATGAGATGGTTGGGGTCTGGAAAAGTAACTGTAGATGACCACATTGTTTACTATTCAGGAGAAGACAGCTCAAAACACAAAAATGGTGTAGCAATAATTGTGTCGAAGGAAACAGATGAAGCTGTAAAAAACGTCGTCCAATTCTCAGACAGGATACTGATGATACAAATACAATCAACAACAATCAATGTGAACATATTACAAGTATATGCACCCACACAAGACTATGAACAAGAAGAAATTGAAAAATTCTATCATAATTTAGAAAAAGTATTAGCACCTACAAAGAAACACGATCTCAATATTATCATGGGAGATTTTAATGCAAAGATTGTTGCATCATTTCAGAAATGAAAGAGGAGATATGTTGGCATCTTTTTGCATAGAAAAGCAATTAGTAATAATGAACACAATTTTCAAACTTCCAAAACGTCGTCTTTACACCTGGAAATCACCAGCAGATACACCTGAACGAGTTTTTCGTAACCAAATAGACTTCATATGTATAAATAAGAGATACAGAAATTCAGTATTATCAGTAAAAACATATCCAGGGGCAGATGTACCAACAGATCACAATATTTTAGTAGAAAAAATAAGACTGAGATTAAAAAGAGTTGCAAGGACGAATAAGCAAACAGTTACTATTGATAGAGAAACGATGCTAAATGATACTGTAAAACAAGAAATAACTAGTATATTAGAACAAAAGATGAAGTTAACATCAAGCAAAGAAGAAAGTACTGAGGAAAACTGGACGAGAATTAAAGACATCTTAAAGACTGTTCAAGAAACAAAATTGAGTGCGCTAATAGCAAGAAAAAAAACAAGGGTGGATGACAGAAGAAATACTGAGACTTTGGATCAAAGAAGAGAAGTCAGAAATAAAGATAAAAACGAATACAAGAGGATCCACGCAATAATCAGGCAGAAGATAAGACACGCGAAAACACAATTTCATAGTAAAGAATGTAATGAAATTGAACAATATGAAAAGAAACACGATACATTTCATCTGCACAAGAAATTGAAAGAGGTCACTGGAAACAAATGGAAACAAGTATCCCAAAGTTTAGAAGACAGAAACGGACACAGAATATTAGACATCAATGAAAAGTTAAAAGAATGGGAAAACTACATTTCTGATATTTGAAGATGAGAGTGTAGAACACTATACACCGATTGCTATATCAGGTCCATCTATAACAGAAAGTGAGGTAAGACGTTCAATACAAACGGCAAAAAATGGAAAAGCACTTGGCCCCGATGAAGTAAGTGCTGAAATACTAAAGTTTTTGGGAGAAAATGGAATTAAAGCTCTGTGTAATCTCTTTAACAGAATTTATGACACTGGGATATTACCAACTGATTGGTTAAAGTCGACATTTGTCACAATACCTAAGAAACATCGTCCAAAGACATGCGGTGATTATCGGACAATAAGTCTGATGAGTCACGTTTTGAAAACCTTTCTGCGAGTAATACACAGCAGAATTTAAACGCTGTTAGAGGACAGAATTAGCAATACTCAATTTGGGTTTAGGAGTGGCTTGGGTACAAGAGAAGCCTTGTTTAGTATACAGGTGCTTGTACAGAGATGCAGAGATATAAATCAAAATGTGTATATTTGTGCAATCGATTTTGAAAAAGCTTTTGACAAAGTCCGACATAACAAAATGCTAGAAATATTGGAAACAGCTGGATTGGACGATAAAGATCTACGAATACTTACAAATCTATACTGGCATCAAGTGGCAAGAATAAAGGTTGAACAAGAACTGTCGGATGAAATAAATATAAAAAGAGGAGTAAGACAAGGCTGTATATTGTCTCCTTTACTTTTTAACTTATATTCGGAGGAAATATTTAAGGAAGCCTTAATGGAGACAACCGAAGGTATTATTGTGAATGGAGTAACCGTCAACAATATTAGATATGCCGACGATACCTTAGTCCTTGTCAATTTGCGGAGAAGACCTTCAAAATCTAATGAACAAAATAAAACAGACTTGTGATCAGTATGGATTAAAACTCAACGTTAAGAAAACTAAATATATGATAGTTAGCAAACAAAATTATATACATGATGACGGTATAAAAGTCGGAGATGCCACACTGGACAGAGTAGAGAAACTCGTGTATCTCGGCAGTAATATCAATGAGAGCTGGGATCCAACCGCAGAAATTAAAAGCCGAATAGAACAAGCCCGAGCTGCCTTTGTAAAAATGAGAAACATACTTTGCAGTCATGATCTTAGCATTGACCTTAGAGTTCGTATGATATCTTGCTACATCTTTCCTGTCCTGCTGTATGGAGTAGAAGCGTGGACCCTAACTGAGGCTATGCTTAAACGCTTGACAGCCTTTGAGATGTGGGTATACAGACGACTACTGAAAAAAAGCTGGGTCGACAGAGTTAGAAATGAGGAGGTCCTTAGACGGCTGAACCAAACAACACAACTAGTCAATATAATAAAGAAACGCAAGCTGGAATACTTTGGTCATATTATGAGACCCTGAAAAATATGATCTTTTACATCTGATCATTCAGGGAAAGATCCAAGGTAATCGTGGTCCTGGTAGAAGAAGAACATCATGGCTGAAAAATCTAAGGCAATGGTATGCAAAAACAACTACATCGTTATTTAAAGCTGCTGTCAATAAAGTCACGATAGCGAATATGGTAGCCAACATGATATCCAACGATCGATAACGGTCATGGAACTAGAAGAAGAAGAAGAAGTATTTGGAAGATTACAAACAGTATTTAAATCATACTTAACAAATACAATAAAGAAATAAAATAAGATCAAAATAAACAGATGTAATCCATAGACATGGAGAGAATGAAAGACAACTGTTTGACGAATTTTTGAATGGCGACCAAAAGAAAATAAGAAAACCAGAGTTAGACGTCAAACCAGATGGACTGATAATATTATGCGAGTGAATGATAATGATGATAACGGTATGTTATCCCATTTTTGACCTGTTTGAAAATTTACCCGTCTATTGTTCAAGGTTGAGGTATATTTAAATTTTTACAGATTGACATTACTTGTTTTTCTTAATGTTTATTTTCATACTGAATTGTTCTCAGACCGAATTAGTCATGTCAATGAGTAGTTAGAGAAAAGTCAAAATCCTCAATCAACATCGTTCTCCTTGACTGACTCCATCATTGGACTCCTCCAGTGCCACTTCAAATAGGAACTCGAAATAAAGATTAAAAAGCAGGAGTGGTAAAACACAATACAAACTTTTTTAATTTATACCTCTGCGAAGGTGGAAACTTCGATCTTAATTTTAGCGTTTTGGTTACAGTACAAGTTTTTAAGCAGCTTAATACCCTTCTCATCTAAACCGACTTAAGCCGATCAGACACCAGCGTATTCTAGTCTAAGACGCAAATTCGTTTTAGAATTTTAAACTGCTGCGTTAGCCTTTTTTATTTTTCTGTACACCTAGCCATGACTTGAACCGACATCCACTTAACCATTCAACAATGAAGCGAATGAGAATCGGCCGCCTAATCCGCTTGGCTATCTGACCGACTGATACAAAGTTTATGAAGTATATAAATATATCTTCTGGTGGTCATAGCATTTTCGAACCAGAACTAGCAAACTGAGCAGCACTTTTCTTGTTCCCACGCTTGCTCTGAATCCAAACTGATCGTCAGCGATGATTGTATCGAACGTTTGTAGATTCGGTTATGTAAGACTTTTAAGTGAACTTTTATCATGGGGCTTATCAAATTGAACTCGTGCAGTATTTGAGCTTTTTTTCGGTAGAGGGATGACTACTAATTCTAAATAGTCTTGTGGGTATTTTTTTTGTATTTATAAACGCGATTTAATAAAGTGACAAACATTTCGATGTTTTTTCGTTGATTTATTTTATCGTCATCTGAATATATCCCATCTGGATCTGGGCCCTTACTTGTTTTGAGTTGTCTGATGTTTAATTTTGGTTTACAGAATTTCTGGACTTTTGTCTTTGTTTTCCAGTCTTCTTCGTTCTTCTCGTATATTTTTATAAAATATTTTGATGTAGTTTTCCATTCTTTTAGTTTATCTTCGGTTGATTCAATTAATTTGTCATCCGTCTTTACCATGGTGTGTGAGTTGGTTCTCTTATAAGCAGATGTAAACTATTTTACCATTTTATATAAATTAAAGCGATCGTGCCCTATTCGATCATATTATAGGTTACTTTTGTATTTATATATATATATATATATATATATATATATATATATATATATATATATATATATATAAGCGAGGTTCCTACAGCCTCTGCCGTTTCTCGCATTTCGACAGCCATCGTTTTCTGTCCATCCATTCGTCTTCTCTGATGGCTCTATCTCTCATTATGTGCCGTACATTTTCTTCCCAGACAACTGAAGGCCTTCCCCTTCTTCTTCTTTGTTGTGGTATGTAATTTAAAGCTTTCTTTGGCCATCTATCTTCATTCATTCGTTTCACGTGACCATACCACACTAGTTGTCTCGTTTCAATTCTATCTACACTGGAATATACAGTATTTGTCCTCCTTCTAATATCTTTATTCCTGATGTGATCTTTTTTGGATATACCACACGCTCTCCTTAGAAAATCCATTTCTACTACTTCTATTCTTTTTCTATCCTTCTGCGTTATCTGCCAAACCTCTGCCCCATAAGTCATAATAGGCTCTACCAAGGTTCTTTATACTTCAAGGTACTTTTGTATTTATACCAATTTAAATACTCCATGAGTGTCTAAGAAATGAATGATTTGTTATGGCAGAGTTCATTAATAAGCCTGCCGATTACGAAAAATCTCACGCCTTTCGTGGGACAATAATTTATTTAATTTGCTTTAAAAATTTTAAATCAATAAAAAATCTGGTTCATTTATTAGTATCATTTTCAGTTACAATATTATACAATAAAACAACGTTGTCAATATGTTTTACACTCTTTTTTTTGTTGGCTAAATCAGTTCTTAAATTTTAGTATGTAATCTGAGGAATCGTGATTTATGCTTGTGTTGTGTATCAGCTGTAGATACATAAAACGTAAAAGTAATTAATATAATGGGTTTTAAAATACTTTACGATTAATATGAATGATTTAAAAATAAATAATATGTAGTAGGCATACCATAATATTTTACGATATTACTAACCAGTTATATTAAAAAATACTTTATTGTCTTGCACATTAAACAACTTATAATCAGATAATTCTCATACTATTTAGGTTATTTAAGTAAAAACTTTTAAAAATAATTTATTTTTAGGCACCTTGAACGCAATCAGTGATGGAATGCAATATGGATGGACCGCTCCTGTGTTACCCATTCTCCTTGGTAAGGACTCTCCTGTGCCAATTACGGAATGGGAAGGTGAAATGTTGGAAACCTTCTTATGGGTAGGATCGTTATCATGTCTGCCATTAACTATGTATCTTGTTGACAAAATAGGAAGAAAAAATTCGATTTTATTAGCAGCAGTACTAACACTAACAGTGTGGATTATTACAGCTTTAGCTCCATCTGTAGAGTATTTGTATGTTGCGAGGTTCTTAGCAGGAACAGCTAGTAATACAGCATATGTCTCAACTCCCATGTATATAGCTGAAATAGCTGAACAAAAAATTCGAGGGTTTTTGAGTAGTCTTATTTATCTTATGATGTTACTCGGTATATTTTTGATTTATGCTGTAGCACCATATATTCCTTATTATGCGCATTGCACTATAGGTGCAATTCTGGCTTGTTTAGAACTTGGTATCTTTCCATTTATGCCAGAAAGTCCTTATTTCTTAGTCTTTAAAGGAAAACATGAAGAAGCTAAAAAGTCTTTGAAATGGTTAAGACCTGCTGGTGCCGATGTAGAAACTGAGCTTAATGAAATTAACGCAGCAATTGAAAGACAAAAGACAGAAAAAGATAAAATTTGGGATTTATTTATAGTACCCAGTTACAGAAAAGGCATTATAATTATGTTTGTTTTAAATGGTGCCCAACATTTTAGTAGTATTAGTGTACTTTTAATGAATTTACATATTATTTTGGATGCTGCTGGATCAACATACATAGAGCCAGCTACCGCTGGAATATTATTTGCCTTCATATTACTGTTAGCTGCCACAGTAGCTTCGATTTCAGTTGATAAATATGGCCGAAGAACTCTATTAATTTCATCCAGTTTGTTAACTGGTGTATGTCTTTTTATACTAGCAGTTTACTTTACTGTAAAAAATTCTGGATATGAAACAGCATCCGTCAGTTGGATACCCATAGTATGTATTATGGTGTACGCTTGTGTCTTTAAATTGGGACTAGGTCTAGTTCCCATAGTTCTTGCTCCAGAACTCTTCCCTGCCAACGTTAAAGGATACGGTATGACTTTAGTCGACGCAACATATGTTATAGCTTCACTATTGTCCCTTCAGATCTATCAGCGGCTAGCAGACAATTTTGGTTTAGAGTATCCATTTTATGTCTTTTCAATAAGCTGTATATTTACAGCCATTTTTAGTTATTATATTGTTCCTGAAACTAAAGGTAAATCTTTGGAAGAAATTCAAATGATTCTAAAGGGAAAGAACAAGGAAAAAGAAAAGGAAAAGGAGATTGAAAACACTCGAGTTTAATTTCAGTAAAACGTAATAATTGTACATAGGTACTGTTTTCTTTTATGCATTCTGTGAATACGAGAACTAAAATGTGATTCATAAATTATTTGTTCAAGTCAATTTATTCGTCCGTCATTATATAAATAGGGGAAAATTCTGTGTTTAGATTGTTAATATTATTGTGATATATTTTTGTATATAGTAGGTAACTAATTTATTGTAAAATAAAATAACTGTAAATTATATTGTAGCTTAAAATTTAGAAATAAATTATTTTTTTAGATTGTATATTATTAGGTTCTTTAATAAATATAGTTTTTTTAAGAAAAAAAAACAAGCAAATTACATTCCTATCATTACATCATAACCTCTTTAACATAAACATCTTACATTTTTAATGATTGAATAATACATTAAAAAAACTATTATTTATTCCTTATGCTCTATAAGAGCACCGAATAAAAATTTAACACATACAATTAATCTTTTATAAACTTCTAAAACTTACAAAATGTTAATTAGAGAACGGAAGAAATCTTGAATTTATTTTTAAAACTAAATGGTGTCAACATTAATATAGTTCCAATTATAAATGATGGATTTGACCGTTCATCATCATCAACTAGCCTCTAACGTCCACTGCTGAACATAGGCCTCTCGCATGCTTTTCCACTTAGTCCGATTTTGCGCCATCTGAATCCAATTTGTACTCACTCTTTTATGTCATCTGTCCATCTCGTTGGGGGTCGACCTCTATTTCTGTAAGCTTGTATTCGGGGTCTCCATTCCAAAATTCTTTTTGTCCACCGGTCATCAACTGATCTTCCTACATGACCTGCCCAGTTCCACTTTAGTGTTGTTATCCTTTCAATAACGTCTGCTACTCCTGATCTTTTGCGTATAGTAGCATTGGGTATTCTATCACGTAGAGAAATCCCTAACCGAAAGAGCAATCTCCATTGCTCTTTCCGCAACTTGTAGTTTACTCACTGTTGTTCTTGTGAGCGTTAGGGTTTCTGCGCCGTAGGTCATCACTGGCAAAATACATTGATTAAATACTTTTCTTTTCAGACACATTGGAATCTTAGACCTAAAAATATCCTTCATCCTTCCAAATGCAGCCCAAGCGAGGTTTATTCTTCTTTTCAGCTCGATTGTTTGGTTGTCTCGACTTATTCTGATCTCATGGCCTAAGTATTTATAGGAGTCAACTGGCTCAATATCTTTATCTTCTACTGAGATGTTTTTGTTGTGGACTAAATTTGTCATAAATTGTGTTTTTGAAAAATTTATTTAAAGACCAACTCTTTTTGTGGCAGTATGGAGTTCTTGGAGCATCATCTGTGCCTGATCAAAGGTGTCTGCAATAAGAACGATATCATCTGCAAATTTAAGGTTATTTAAAAATTTTCCATCTACATTGATGCCCTTTTCGTTCCAATCTCTTGTTTTACAAGCGTATTCTAGCAAAGTTGTAAATAATTTAGGAGACATGTTGTCTCCTTGCCGAACGCCTCTTTCAATACGAAAAGTCCCAGTATCTTCATTAAGTCTTACACAGGCTGTAGCATGTTGATAGATGTATCTGATGAGAGATATGTATCAGTGGTCTATTCTACATTGTGTTAGAGCTTGGAGCATTTCACTTTGATTGACCGTATCAAATGCTTTTTCAAAGTCGACAAAGACAAGTATCGGGGGTCTATTATATTCAATGGTTTTTTCAATCAACGACTTAATGGTTTGCAAATGATCATTTGTTCCATATCCAGCTCTAAATCCTGCTTACTCGCAAGGTTGATAGAAGTCTAGTTTTGATGTCAACCTATTAGTTATTATCTTCATAAACAACTTATAAACGTGAGATAACAAGCTAATAGGTCTATAGTTCTTTAGCTCTGTTATATCTCCCTTTTTGTGCATGACTACTATAACAGCTTTATTCCACTGAGATGGTGTAACCTCGTTTGAAAGGCATAAGTTATATAATTGCGTCAATGCTTTCAATACTGTCTTTCCTCCTGCTTCAATTGCCTCAATAACGATTTGATTATCACCATCTGCTTTATTGTTTTTCATTCTATTTAATGACTTTAAGACTTCTTCGGTGTTATTTCTGGGATATCCTCTGAACCCACATTCTGGACTTTTCTCAACTTGGTGCCGCCCTTCTTCCCCCTTTCTCTATATAATTCTAATTATTAAGTTGTTGTAGTACGCGTGCATTCGTATCGTTTTTGTTCTTAAGTTCTCTTCGTGCCTCCATAAGTCTTTTTGTTTCTTGACTGAGCTTTTCCTCCTTATCTCTACTAGAATTTGTATTGCACTTTTTCTCTGCGTTCTTAATAGCTTTTATTAAGTTATCATTTAAGGTTTCGATATCCATAACGTCTATATTTGTTGTCTCTAGGCATCTCAGAATTTCCTCTTCGAAGGACATGGTGTTTTCGATTGGATTCCATTCTATTGGGTGTGTTTTTGTTATCATTTTGTATCTTTGTTTTTGGAGATTTAGCACGATCTTCGCTCTTACCATTCTATGAGCACTTCCCACTGAACAGCTATTAAGAACTGTTACATCATGGATCATGTCTTTGTTGTTGGTTAAGACAAAATCAATTTCATTTTTGGTGACTCCATCTGGACTTGCCCAGGTCCATTTTCTTTGGGGACTTTTTTTGAAAAAGTTTTGACCGTTACTTGATGGAAATTTATTTTATCTAACACTAAACACTAAAAACTTGGGTTTTCAAAACTTCCACAAAAGTTATTATAATTTATTATCACCACAGCGGTTTCGACACAGTGCTCTTCTCTAGTAATCTATTTTTGCTTTGCGTTTAAGTCCTATCAGTTTGACCGATGAAGTTTTTGGGCAGTCACCACATTAAAGTTTGTATACACCATTGTTTAAGTGCTCTTTCTTTTGACTCCTGTTGTTCATAATATTTAATTTCAAAGCATCCTATATTCAAAAATTTTCTTATATTGGTTGAGATACGTGGACGAAGTACTGGTATGCTAAAAGGCAGCTTTATTAATTCTTATTGTATATTAATTTATTTTTTACTCATATTGAATTTACAACAGAAGCAGAACAGAATTAATTTCTAGATTTAAAAATTATTAGACTTAAAAACAAACATGAGTTCTCCCATTATCTTCATTATAGGTGCCATTTTACATTATTTAATAGGCAGCTTACCATAGCATGTTTAACAGAATAATATATATTCCCATGTCAAAAAACACCTTCGATATAATTGAATATCATTAAGCAAATGGGTACAACAATGGGTACAAGGAACAAACAATAAACATATAACATAAACATGTACAATTTAAAAACAAAAACTGCAACTCCATCGGTCAAACTTTTAACAAACGTATAGCAGAACACGAGAGGGTTTTCAATGATAGACAAACCGATTCTGCGTATCCACTTCACCTTCTATACCCTAATCATTCTTTTGATGACCAGTTTCAAATCCATCACATTTAAAATAAAGGCCTTAAGTTATTTTTGTTAGAATATGTGCAAATTCACAAATTAAAAAGTAGAGATATAATTCTGAATGACCAACCTGAGGCAAATAGTTCTTTCCTCCCCAAGTTATTCAGTCTAAGACTATAAAGTGTAAACGCATCCAAAAAATAGATTACTTAGAGGACAACATTAATAAAGCGTCTCACGTTGGCCTGAATTTTAAATCGTTTGGGAAATCTTGTTGGTTTCCGTTATTCAGAACTCCCACATAAAGAGAATTTGGCTAATAAAGTGCTTCTATCGTTCAATCATCAGAGTGTTATAGGGAGGAAAGGGATGGTTTGCAGAATTAAAACGCGTTGGAGTGATTCCTATTTTTTTAAACACGAATTAATACACCTTGCTCCTATGAATTGTTACTTTATTCTAAGGGGTGAGCCCGTTTCATAGGCTGGATTTAATCAAATTGCTTGCAAATAGATCACTTGAGAAAGGTGTGCCGAAACAGCTTTAGTGATAATAAATGATTAAAAATATTGTGGAAGTGTTTAAAACAAAAGTTTTTAATGTTTTATTGTTAGAAATACAATTATGCTTGCCTTTTATATGTGAACTGTTTTCCAAAGCATCTGGGAAAGTATTAGCAAATTAAATGTAATGTTTTCTAATATCATGTGAGTTTTTTTGTTAACGTCGATTAACGTATATAAAGAAGAGAATCCTTAAATTTGGCAACATTTAGTTATTGGCTATATTAAAACAAACCAAAGACTTTTCATGAAATATTTACGCCTACTTTTAGTTGAAATTTTTTGAAATACTCGTAACTGCCAACAGCTTGTATGAAGTATCTTGTAAAAATCAGAGAGATATGTATATTTTTAATATTGTACAGATTGACTTTGTGTTTGCTGATTTATTAAAATGTAATAAAACATTTAGGTATACACTTTTGGTTTGATTCCAGCTATTTAGCTAACAAATTTTTTTATTACTCATGTCGTAAAGTTATCAAATAAAGTCATAGTTTAAAATATAATAATATTTTCCAAAATTAATAGTTTTACCCATAACATTTAAAAACAACCTATTAAAAATGATGTCACGACAAAAGAACGTGTTTAATAAAAAAGACAAGTTTTTCTGTTTAATCTGTAATCAAAGAAAAATATATCTATTATAAATATATTAAATATGACATAAATAATTTATTAGAATTAAAAAAAATTAATTTAAAAGTGTAGTAATTAAATTGTTTATATTTTGAATGGATAGATAGACGATTAACAAGGCCAAATAATAGGTTGAATAGAACTTACCATTAAAACAAATTAAGGCCTACCAGATTCAAGGCATACGATGCTCACTCCTAAGGGAAAAATGATTTATGCCAGAAACTAACGGTATCAAACGAATTCACCTCTGATTGGACCCTTTCAGTGTTATTGACCCCTAAAGTGACGTGGTATATAATCCATTGTGTGCAACTTTTTTATTTGTGAACACACAACCACTAGTTAGACGCTATATGGTCGACATAGTCTTGACTGACTTGATTGGGATGTCACTTGTGCAGTGGTTTGCTGTAATACTGCGGTAATGTCGTGTGTTCGTACTTTTAGCTGAATAGCTAACATATATAAACTATATCCGCTTTTGTCCACTTAACGCTAAATAAATAGGTAAGTACGGAACATCGCAGGTGTTTGGTACCTTAAATAAATTTTTACTGTTAAGGTGCGAACGGTAGTGGAAAGGCAAGGTGGACGAAGGAGCTTATTCCCGATCTGAGACCGTGGTGGAAATGTAAGTTCAGGAAACTAGACATACTTCCT